AGGGCTGATTTTAGGCTCCCTGATTTCTGTATGAGAGATTGTTGAAGTTGGCACTAGAGTTCCTAAAGTTGTTGTTGAAAGCTGGACTAAATTGATTATGATATGTCTGGGCTCCAATAAAATTGATTTCTTCCTCTTGGTACATGCCATCTTCTTCATATCTTCCATCTTCCTCATTTCCTACAGCAGTATCACAAGCATTGATATTCTTATTTTGAGACTTAAGAAGTTGACTTACCATGCTTTTTAGCTCAGCAATCTCCCTTGATTCATGACTAGTAATAGTCTTCTTTGATCTGTCATACTCAGGATTGTTGTTGCTGTTAGCTACAGCCAGATTTTCGATGAGTGCTCTCCCTTGTGGTATGGTTTTTGAACTGAAATCTCCATTGCTGTCAGTGTCAAGAGAAAGTTGATACTTCTGCTGAAGCCCTCTGTAGAAGGTGCTTAGCAGGTTTGCTCCAGAGAAACTCTGATGAGGGCAGTCTCTCTGATACTCCTTGAATCGCTCCCAGGCTTCATAGAATTATTCTATTGGGCCTTGTTGGAAACTTTGTATCTTGTTTCTCAGCTGGTTTGATCTTGACTTGGTGTAGAAGTGGTTCAGGAAAGCTGACTTGCATTCTTCCCATGCAGTAATAGAACCACATGGCATAGATTTCAACCATCTAAAAGCTTTATCACTTAGAGAGAAAGGAAAAAGCTTACACTTCACATAGTCCACAGTTTCTGGAGTTGTTCTCACCATTCCAGAGATTTCTTCAAAAAGATCAATGTGGTCCATTGGATGCTCAGTAGCGATTCCATGGAATTGGTTCTGCTTCACCAAAGAGACTATCTAAGGTTTTATCTCATGATTTTCTCTTGGAACAGGAATTTGAATAGCTGATCGATTTTGAAAGTGTTGGTGAGGTGCATCGAAATCGGCAATGAGTCTATTCCAAGGCTGTCTTCTCGCAGGATGGGCAAGTTCTATTGGTCGATTGGCTTCTCTAACAACTGGTGGAACAATGTTTTCATCATTCCTTGTTCTTTCAGCATCGGCCTGATCTTGTCTCCTTTGATTTTTGCGGCTTGAGCAGGATTTGGAGGGACTCGGTTTCCCTCTTCATCGAGTTGTGGCTGTCCATCTTCTTCATGAGCAGCATCTAGGTCATCACCATGAATTGAATCACAGTCATCATCTCCAATGTGATCCTCCTGATCAAGGTTTAAAAGATCTTCCCGATGGGCATTAGGATTGGCCATCTTAAGCGTTGTTCGTCTGAGTTTCCTAAGTGCTCTTTCGTGTTTGTCAATCTCGTATAAGGGCAAAACGATTTCGTCAGGATCTCTCCTAGTTTTCATGCACCTGTGAGCAAAGAAAGCAAAGATAAAAAGAGGAGTTAGAAAATCTCCAGCAGAACTCGAAAATCTTCGGGTTTGGGATTGAAATTAGATTAACATTTCAAGTTAACAGCGAGAGATCCCCGGCAACAGTGCCAAAAACATGATGTGAATGCAGTGGGCAACACAAGTTTTATCCTAGACAAGCTGCAAGTGCACAGCAAACGCAGTAGTACTTAGGGATCGAATCCACAGAGATCTGTGTGTTGAGGACTCCTAACTGATGCTAAAAAAAATCGTAAACCTAATCTAATAAAAAGGGGTTTTGGTTTGTCACTAAACCTAATTATGCAGAGAATTAAAAAGAGCTTTAAGTAAAAATCGGTTGGAAAACAGTAAGGAAAAAGCACTAGGTTCAAGGTTCATCTTTAAGGTTCATGTTCTAAAACACAAGGAATTTATGCAAGGATTTGCTTGACTCTGAAACGAGGATAGACACATGTAAGATTAGCCAACTCTCGTCACCCTAATCATCTAATCACTTGTTCATGGCAATTAACTCTCGCTCTCATGCCAGAACCTCCTGAGCCGCGGTGGGAAGAAGGCTGGCCGCGGGTGAAAGCACTTGTGCTTGACTGGGTTTGTGTTGATCGGCCTTCAGTGCATTGATGATATCTTGAGATCTAACCGTTTGATTGCTTTGATTCCACGTGTGTTGGAAAGCTGGTTGTCTCCTCTATAATGTCTTCAAATTTGGGGATGATCAGACGGAGAGAAGGTCTTCGTTGGTTGCCAAACTTCTGACGGCCTGAATTTATCCAAAATGTACTTTTGCTGAAAAATGCACTCCAAAGTCCCAAGTTTATTGAAAAGCCTTTTAAAACTCCAAAACATGGAAAACACTTATAAAACCTTTAAAACTGAGTAAAAACACCTGCATAAGATATTGAAAGTGATCCATAAAAGTGATCAAAATCATGTGTTATCAACCTTCGTCTCTAGCACTTTCTCAAAAATGCTTTCCAAAACCCAGCCGTGAACTTTGCATCTCTATCCGACACAATACTAACAGGAACTCATGCAGCCTTACAATCACATCCAAATATTTTTGTGTCAAAATTTCTGCTCTATCATTTTTCTTATCCAACGTCATTGGTAAGCCCATGAAAAAGTCCATAGTTACCATGTCCCATTTCCATTCTGGTAGTGGTAAGCTCTGAAGTAGTCCACTGGAAACCATGCACTCTGCCTTCACCTGTTTACAGGTTTCGTAATAAGAGATCCATTTCTCTATATCCTTTTTCATTCCTCCCAAATGATAGTATGTCTTCAGGTCTCAATACATCGTGGTATTTCTGGGATGAATAGAGATCTTCGAGTTATGAGCCTGACTTAACACTTCTTTCCTCAACTCTTCCCTGCTCGAAACACAAATTCGATTCTTATACATATAAGCTTCATTATCTGCCATGTGGAAACCAACCACTTGCTTTTCAATAATTTCCTTTAGAGCATCATCCTTCTTCTGCTCCTGACAAATTTTTCATAGATGATCCGCATTTTCCAATGCTTCAAGACCCGTGAAATTTTCGTCCACTTCAGTAACACACAACTGAAGACTTGCCAAAATTGCGGTTAGATTCTCCATCTCTTTTTCCTTAGCAACATCTCCTCTGCGATGACTCAAAGCGTCTGCCACTTGATTAACCTTTCCTGGACGATAGGCAATATCCAAATCATAATCTGCTAACAACTCCATCCATCTTCTCTGCCTCAAATTCAAATCATTCTGACTGAAAAAAATTTTCAAACTCTTATGATTTGTGTATCTTTGCACCTTCTCCCCGTACAAATAAGCACACCAGATCTTCAAAGCAAACACAACTCCTGCTAGCTCCAAATCATGAGTGGGATAATTCAGTTCGTGCTTCCGCAACTATCTCGAGGCATATGCTATGACATTCCCTTCCTGCATAAGCACACCACCTATACCTGTTCTTCAGGCATTAGTGTAGACCTCATATGGTATTCTTGGCCTTGGAAGTACCAACACCAAAGTTTCGGTTAGGCGCTTCTTCAACTCCTCAAAACTCTTATCCCGATCCTCGGTCCACTCAAACTTCTCATCCTTCCTGACAAAACTTGACAACGGCTTTGTCAACTTTGCAAACTCCGGAACAAATCTGCGGTAATATCCGGCTAATACTAGGAAGCTACGGACCGCCGTCACATTTTTAGGAACAAGCCATTCCGTCATGGCAGCAATCTTTTCTGGATCTGCTGCTACTCGTTCCTCCAAGATAACATGACCAAGAAATCCAATCTTCCTCAGCCAAAAGCTACATTTGCTCAACTTGGAAAAAAGTTGATGCTTCCTTAGCTCCTCAAGCACTAACTGCAGATGCCAAGCATGCTCCCTTTCTGACCTCGAGTAGACCTAAATGTCATCAATGAAAACAATAACACACTTATCCAAGTATGCTCGCAAAATATTGTTCATCAACTTCATAAATGCTGCAGGTGCATTTGTCAACCCAAACAGCATCACCACAAACTCGTAATGTCCATAACGAGTTCGGAATGCCGTCTTCTTAACATCCTCCTCAGCTATCCGAATCTGGTGGTAGCCTGATGTTAAATCAATATTCGAGAACCACGAAGCTCCTTGCAGTTGGTCCAACAACTCGTCAATTCGTGGAAACATGTATCTATTCTTGATGGTCACCTTATTCAGCCCTCGGTAATCGATACAGAGGCGAAAACTCCCATCCTTCTTCTTCACAAACAACACTGGCGCTCCCAAAATTTAGGGCCACAATTTTACTAAGTTCACATATATATAGTTAATGAGGAAAATATTGTTAGGTTTTTTTTTTTAAGAGAAGCCCATATACTAGTATTATTTTTGTTAATATTTATTTTTATGCATATTCATAAATAAAGAGATAAATAAAAAAAGAAAAATTAGAATAAGGAAATTTAACTAAAATTTGAAACCAAGCATAATTAAAAAAGTCAAGAAAGTTTATCCCACATCAAATTCTAAAAGATGAGGCATATAATTTTTTTATATCACAAGATAGGTTGAATGGATTGGCTATTATATCTATAGAAAGGAATTAGGTGAACAAACTTGTTTATGTGAGTTTGGTGAATGATTTCTAGGAATGAAATAAGAAAAATTATGTTTTAGAATTTCTATTGTTTTGGTTATGATTATTACTTTTGTATGTTTGAGACGATATTTTTATATTAATTTTTTTTATAAGGGCCACACTTTGGTAGTTCGCCTAAAGCCACCACAGTTCTAAGCACGGCACTAGCAGTAACTAACATAAAAATTATCAAATTATTCAGGTTTAAAATATAAGTAACATACAAATTTTGTCCCCCAAAGTGTATCTTGTTTGGTTTGTGCCTTAATTTGGTTTGATTTGGTTTCAATGGTGAGCTCTAATTTGTAAATATTATATATTTAATTTTAGTTTTCAACCATACTTTAAAAGCTAAACTCTCTCCTCACCATATATTTAATTAGTTTTTTTTCTGTTCAAATTTAGCTAAGGTTAGAAATAGATTAGAATAAAGGAAAGATGTTGTCCACACAAAACATTATAAATACTAAATGTTGATGTTTTTCTTACTCAATAAAAATATACTTTGATATCCGAAACATGAAATTTTTCTTAGTTTTTCTGTTAGTTACTGTGACATATTTTGGACAAAAGGAAGTTCATGGGTTTTTTCCCCCTTTAAAGTGCAAAGATAATCATATAGTATTTCACAATAAACTCCGTCCTGGTAGTATTCTTGAGATCAATTGCCTCGAACCAAGAGTTGCTCGCCCTTATCTGAGACACTTTCACAGATTAGGCTTCAACGAAAATCCATATAAAATTATTTTAGAATGGCAGAGTTTATCCGGAAAGTTTACGGTGAAATGTAATCTTAGTCATGGGCCTAACCAGAAGTTTTATTATAATGATCTTCAAGCATATAGTGATAAAGCTTCAAGATGTGGTCAGCTACGTTCATGGATTGCCAAAGTTGATGGCATTTGGTTTACAGAAAAGTATGCAAAACCAGAAGGATGGGTATTTGGATGGAAGACAAGGTAATGTGATTTTACTTTTTTTCCTAAACTTAATCAATATTTATCTAAGTGTATTTTGTTAAATTAAGCTAGAAAAGCTAAATCATTGTTCTATATCAAAATATTGTAATGAGTTCATTTAATATATACATATATACATTATATTCATACTTCACCACAGCATTAAAAAGTAAGACAACTTATTTTTTTATATACAATCATTTCATCTTTAAAAGACATGTCCATATTTTTTATATACTATAATTTCCTCTATAAGAGACATGTCAAATTAAATATAGTCTATTATAAACTACATTCATCAATTTAGTACTGTTTTAATAGTATCTCTATCGCGAATCTAATATTCAATATTCAGATTCATTAAAAATAAATCATACAACTCCTCACATTTAACCAAAATCAAAAATAAAAATTATTGATACTTTAATATTTTTCCCAAAAAACGTAGAAGTAATTTACATAAAATATTATCAGATCATTCATGATTTAACTCTACTTAACATATTTATTTAGGTTAATTTTTGTTTGGCGGGCTTCTTCATTTGGTTTGATTTGGTTTTTGTGGTGAGTTCAATGTTATGATTATGGGTTGTGAACACCACCCGACTTGTCTACCAGACGAACCAGACTATTCACCTTCGATGCTAACCGGTTTACTACATTTATTAGACTAAATTAACATTTTGCTGAATAATACTCTTTCTTCATTTAATAAAAATAAAGTCCTGCAATTAAATTCATAAATTATTCTTAGAAATAAAACTGAAGCAAATTACAATGAGATCTTTAAAAGAAATATTGAATTCAAATAAAACGAAAGAAAACCCATCCCAAAAAGCACACCACTTCAGACTACTCTTTCCTCGTAGCCATCGAGGTCATTATCCTCTTACTCACCTGAAAAATAGAGATTCGAGAGGGGTGAGTAATATGTGAAAATTACTCAGTGAGGAAATAAATCTACATTCCCAGAACATTATTCATTTATTTCCAATATATCAAGCCTAAAACTACACAAGCAACAAACAGTGGTTTACGAGCACACAAACAATTTCAAGCACACCGGATCATCATTCTCAAGGCATGGCAAACTCTCATCATGTTCAAGACATGGCAAACTCTCATCATGTTCAAGACATGGGAAACTCTTTGGTCACATAGACAATGAGTGGTTCGCCACAACCACTTAGCGATGTGGATCATCCTTTCTTCCAGGCATGAACCCCAACAAAGAATAACCGAACCTAGTGTCTCTGCACTAGTCGATCACCTCTTTTCTAGCTACTTTACAGTCATTATCCAATCATCACGGTGAACAAAAAATTCATGCTGGTGCTTCATCTAATGCTTTTCTTATTCAATTCAACTTCTCATGATGTCACAAAATGCATTAAATTAACTACCTGAATAGGTCTAAACTCAACAGAACAAAAACGAACAAATAAGGTCCTAAGAATCTAGACCTACTCCTCACCTTGGCCAATTTGGAGATCTGGATTAAGGAGACTGAGAATTAAAAGAATCAAGGAAGAGACTCTCTGCTACTGCTGGGCGATTTCTCTCTCTCTTTCTGTGGCTGGGGGCTGATTTACAGAGAATGAGGCTCATTCCTTAGGGTTTTCCCTTTTATATCTGCAGAGATTTGGGAATGCGCCTCCTGCTGGGCTTCTGGATGGGCTGGGATGTTATATGGGGCAAAAACTGATGCTGAGCATTTGCCGGAGACGACACAAACTGGTGCTGAGCATTTGCCGGAGACGGCACAAACTGCTGATGCACAGGCGCAGGAGGCGGCACAGGGGGGCGGCACATTCTGCTACTGGACATCCATGGGCGGGACAGGCTCATTCTGCAAGTTACCAAACCTCTCCTGGTAACGGCGCAGCTCCTCCAACAACGCAGCATGATAGTTCAGCTGTCACCTGAGCAGAATTAGCTCCATTGTGGTTTTCATCCACCGAAACTTGCACATTGTTCCCTTTCTCATTCACACTTCCCGCAGTGGAATTGACTTTTTCCTCATTCACTGGCGGAATTTCAGCACGACCTTGAACATTTCTACCCTTCGGAGGCATCTGAAAACAATAGAACAAGGGAATTCAGGAAGCAATTCAATCCGGACCTAAAAATCAACCATACGAAAAAAGTGTTTTAGGTGGTGGTTTTATAATCTTTAATAAAATCCCCCAAATGATTGCTTTTTTTTAAATAAAATTCAAAAATCTGAAAACATTTTTTCTTAAAAAACTTTTTTTTAGTCCATTATTCCTAGAAAAACTTTTCTCCTAACTCTAACCTAGGCTCTGATACCACTTTGTGAACCCCCGACCCATCTACCAAATGAACTAGACTATTCACCTTCTTTTCTAACCGGTTTACTACATTTATTAGACTAAATAAACATATTCCTGAATAATACTCTTATTCATTTAATATAAATAAAGTCTTGCAATTGAATTCATAAATTATTCTTAGAAATAAAAACGAAGCAAACTACGAAGAAGTCATTAACAGAAATACTGAAATCGAATAAAACAAAAGAAAACCCATCCCGGAAAGCACACTTGACTACTCTTCCTCGTAGCCATTGAGGTCTTAATCCTCATACTCACCTGAAAAATAGAGATTCGAGTGGGGTGAGTAATTTGGGAAAATGACTCAGTAAGAAAATAAATTCACGCTCCCAGAACATTATCCATTTATTTCCAATATATCAAGCCTAAAACTAAACAAGCAACAAACAGTGCTCTACAAGCACACAAGCAATTTCAAGGGCACTGGATCATCATGCTCAAGGCATGGCAAACTCTCATCATGTTCAAGAAATGGCAAACTCTCATCATGTTCAAGACATGGCAAACTCTTTGGTCAAACACATAATGAGTGGTTCGCCACAACCACCTAGCGATGTAGATCATCCTTTCTTCCAGGCATGAACCCCAACAAACAATAACCGAACCTAGTGTCTCTGCACTAGTCGATCACCTCTTTTCTAGATACTTTACAATCATTATTCAACCATCAGGGTGAACAAAAAATTCATGCTGGTGCTTCATCTAATGCTTTTCTTATTCAATTCACCTTATCATGATCTCCCTAAATACATCAAATTAACTACCTGAATAGTTCTAAACTCAACACACCAAAAACAAACAAATAAGGTCCTAAGAATCTAGACCTACTCCTCACCTTGGCCAATTTGCAGATCATGATTACAGAGACTGAGAATTAAATAATCAAGCAGACGACGAGAAGGAAGAGGCTCTCTGCGGCTCCTCCTCGGCTCAGGATCGACGCACGGCGGCTCTAGGAAGCTCGGCGAAGCTTCTGACGGCGGCGGCAAGGGATCTCTGCTGCTGCTGGGCGATTTCTCTCTCTTTCTGTGGCTGGGGGCTGATTTACAGAGAATGAGGCTCATTCCTTAGGGTTTTCACTTTTATATCTGCAGAGATTTGGGAATGGGCCTCCTGCTGGGCTTCTGGATGGGCTGGGATGTTATATGGGGCACAAACTGATTCTGAGCATTTGCCGGAGACGACACAAACTGGTGCTGAGCATTTGCCGGAGACGGCACAAACTGCTGATGCACAGGCGCAGGAGGCGGCACAGGGGGCGGCACATTCTGCTACTGGACATCCATGGGCGGGACAGACTCATTCTGCAAGTTACCAAACCTCTCCTGGTAACGGCGCATCTCCTCCAACAACGCAGCATGATCTTCAGCTGTCACCTGAGCAGGATTAGCTCCATTGTGGTTTTCATCCACCGAAACTTGCACATTGTTCCCTTTCTCATTCACACTTTCTGCAGTGGAATTGACTTTTTCCTCATTCACTGGCGGAATTTCAGCACGGCCTTGAACATTTCTACCCTTCGGAGGCATCTGAAAACAATAGAACAAGGGAATTCAGGAAGCAAGTCAGTCCGGACCTAAAAATCAACCATACGAGAAAAGTGTTTTAGGTGGTGGTTTTATAATTTTTAATAAAATCCCCCAAATGATTGCTTTTTTTAAAATAAAATTCAAAAATCTGAAAACTTTTTTTCTTAAAAAACTTTTTTTTTAGTCCATTATACCTAGAAAAACTTTTCTCCTAACTCTAACCTAGGCTCTGATACCACTTTGTATACCCCCAACCCATCTACCAAATGAACTAGACTATTCACCTTCTTTTCTAACTGGTTTACTACATTTATTAGACTAAATAAACATATTCCTGAATAATACTCTTATTCATTTAATAAAAATAAAGTCTTGCAATTAAATTCATAAATTATTCTTAGAAATAAAAACGAAGCAAACTACGAAGAAGTCATTAAAAGAAATACTGAAATCGAATAAAACAAAAGAAAACCCATCCCGGAAAGCACACTTGACTACTCTTCCTCGTAGCCATTGAGGTCATAATCCTCATACTCACCTGAAAAATAGAGATTCGAGTAGATCATCCTTTCTTCCAGGCATGAACCCCAACAAACAATAACCGAACCTAGTGTCTCTGCACTAGTCGATCACCTCTTTTCTAGATACTTTACAATCATTATTCAACCATCAGGGTGAACAAAAAATTCATGCTGGTGCTTCATCTAATGCTTTTCTTATTCAATTCACCTTATCATGATCTCCCTAAATACATCAAATTAACTACCTGAATAGTTCTAAACTCAACACACCAAAAACAAACAAATAAGGTCCTAAGAATCTAGACCTACTCCTCACCTTGGCCAATTTGCAGATCATGATTACAGAAACTGAGAATTAAATAATCAAGCAGACGACGAGAAGGAAGAGGCTCTCTGCGGCTCCTCCTCGGCTCAGGATCGACGCACGGTGGCTCTAGGAAGCTCGGCGAAGCTTCTGACGGCGGCGGCAAGGGATCTCTGCTGCTGCTGGGCGATTTCTCTCTCTTTCTGTGGCTGGGGGCTGATTTGCAGAGAATGAGGCTCATTCCTTAGGCTTTTCCCTTTTATTATATACAGAGATTTGGGAATGGGCTTCCTGCT